GACCTGGCCAGGGCCGCTGAGGCGGTCCGTCGACGTCCCCCGAGCGAAGCGCGAGGACGAGGGCAAGGGAGGGGGAGGCCTCTTGTAGAACATGCCGCTCCTGTAGCGCAGCGCCTGCACGAAGTCGATGTTCTCCACCGGGGTGCGCGCGATGGCACCTGACTACCTACCAGACCACCCCAACCCAACCCGAAGATCCGAATTTCGGGTTGGGGGGGGTAAGGGTTCCACATGTGTTTTCTCGACGTTTCCCGACCCCCCCCCCCACTGGAAATCGAGAGTAAATCTGAGCCTTCGGGTTGGGTTGGGGTGGTTTGGTGGGTGGTGGGCACCCGCGCGGCGCTGGACCAGCTGGCTCGCGGGCGACTTGTCGCACGAGCCGGTGCAGAAGGCGGTCTCGGAGACTCGGGCCCGGCTCCTCTCGGACGCGCGGTCCGCGACGCTGGCCTTGAACTGCGCCTCGTTCTTCTCGAAGAAGGTAAGGTCGATATCGACCAGTTCCTCTTATCGGGTCGGGCGAAAGGGGGGGATAGCAAAGGGGGGGTTTGAGAATCAGCTCACGTAGCTGATTTTCCTGGCGCCTCCCGGCGCCGGAGGCGGCCATGTATCGAGGAATGGGCCCCTCGGTGAGGCCGAAACCAGCTGCATGAAGCAATTTTCGTAACCCCCCCTTTCCCAATCCCCCCCTTTCGCCCGACCCGATCTTAGCGGAGGGGGAGCGGTAGGAGCAATAGACCTGGCATCGGCAAAGCATCGCCGCTGGTTCGGCGACAGGCCGTCGATATCCAAGCCGCACGTTCCTGTGCGGGCTGGGGTGGCCAGGCCCCGATCGGGAAAAAACTGGGCGAACGGCGGTCGATGTCATCTGCCTGCATCAGTCCCCCCTTGTCGACGCCCCCGCTTGGCGCGCCCGAAGTGGGCACGGAGAAACTGTCGGGTCGGGCGAAAGGGGGGGATAGCAAAGGGGGGGTTTGAGAATCAGCTCACGTAGCTGATTTTCCTGGCGCCTCCCGGCGCCGGAGGCGGCCATGTATCGAGGAATGGGCCCCTCGGTGAGGCCGAAACCAGCTGCATGAAGCAATTTTCGTAACCCCCCCTTTCCCAATCCCCCCCTTTCGCCCGACCCGATCTTAGCGGAGGGGGAGCGGTAGGAGCAATAGACCTGGCATCGGCAAAGCATCGCCGCTGGTTCGGCGACAGGCCGTCGATATCCAAGCCGCACGTTCCTGTGCGGGCTGGGGTGGCCAGGCCCCGATCGGGAAAAAACTGGGCGAACGGCGGTCGATGTCATCTGCCTGCATCAGTCCCCCCTTGTCGACGCCCCCGCTTGGCGCGCCCGAAGTGGGCACGGAGAAACTGTCGGGTCGGGCGAAAGGGGGGGATAGCAAAGGGGGGGTTTGAGAATCAGCTCACGTAGCTGATTTTCCCGGCGCCTCCTGGCGCCGGAGGCGCCCATGTATCGAGGAATGGGCCCCTCGGTGAGGCCGAAACCAGCTGCATGCAGCTAATTTCGTAACCCCCACTTTCCCAATCCCCCCCTTTCGCCCGGCCCGAAACTGGCCGCGATGCCCAGCCGCAAACGCTGTCCAAACCGACAGCTGCAGTTCCTGGGCAGGCAGCGGCCGCCCTGCAAAGACAGCGCCCGCGGCAACACCGACGGCCGGCTCAACATTGCAATAGCAACCGCCGGAAACCGTCTACGTTCTTTCCGTCCCCATGTGGGTCGCACTGATCATCGGGCAAAGGGGGGCCGACCGCTCACACAAACGCCTCCTCCTCCTCCTTTTCCTCCTTTTCCTCCTTCTCCTCCTTTTCCTCCCGACCGCTCACACAAACGCGGTCCTTTTCCTCCTTTTCCTCCTCCTCTTCCTCCTCCTCTTCCTCCTCCTCCTCCTCCTCCGCTTCCGCTCTCTGGTCCTCCTCCTCCTCAGATTCCTCCTCTTCCCCCTCTTCTCCCTCAACAGGCTCCTCCGCCTCCGGCTATGTTCCTGCTTCCGTTCCTCCTCACCCCTCGTCCTCCTTCTGTCCTTCTCTTCTTCCTCCTCATTTACCCTCCCCGCTGCCGCATCCTGCCAGTGCTCCCGTACTCCTCGTCCATCCACCTTACTTCCCTCCACTTCAACTTTCTCCTCCTGCGGCGCACCACAAGGCCACGCAACGGCACCGCGACCGAATTTGCACATCAACTTGGCAGGGCGGGGCCGGCTCTGCCAATCCCTGGCCACAAGGCCGGCGCGGGGCGCAGGGACTGGGGTCCCGAAGAGGACGCGCAGGAGGTCCTCCTCGCTCAAGAACCGGTCGAACACGATCACCCAGGGGTCGCTGCTCAACACCCGCGGCCCAAGGTCGGCATGCGCTTCGCCCCGGAGGATCGGCCCCAGCGTCTCGTTGAGGTCGTGGGGTTTCCTTGCCGCGGGGGCGTCCGGAGCCCGCCGGCACACCGCCTTGAGCCGTTCGAACTTCGCGGTGGTGACCGTGGCGACGGAAATGCCCGGGGGGCAGCCCAAGCAACCAACAAAAACTGTGCGCATGCACCGATCCTGCCCACGCCCACCCTGAACCCAAGATCGGCGCAGCCGCCCTCCTGGTTTAATCTAGGAGGCACATGTTCCGAAAGGGGGCTCAGGATGGGCCTGGACAGGACCGGTGCGTGCGCATAGTTTTCCTCGCCCGACCACGGAGAGAGGGATGGGGGAATGGAGAAGGAGGAGAAGCATCTGCGGGATTTGCGATCGGGGTCAATGCAGTCGACGGGCCCGCCTCGCGCCACACGCATCGTAGCTGCGAAGCTCGGAGCGGCTCGCGCGCGCCCGCCACGCGACTGCGCGGCAGGCGCTCGGGAACGCAGTTCCACGGCGATGTCCATGTCGCCGCGCACTTCAGCGCAGCTCCACGCGGTGGCCCACTTGGGCGCACTTTCGAGACGCGGGGCTCCGAAGAGCGGGCGCCCCCACTCAACTGATCATGCCGGGTACAAGGTTGGCGGTCGCGGTCTCAGCCGCGGAATCGCCCATCAGCTGGCTTGCATCTTTCGGCCGTGCGCTGCATCTTGATACAGTTCGGCGGCACCGCTCCGTCTGGCCGGTCTGTCCTGCCGTCGGTCGTGGCCCATTGCGTAGACTCTGGAGCACCGTTGCTCCGCTGGCTGCGGCGACCATATCGCGGCCCTCCTCTGACACTAGCGCAGGTCGCCCACGTCCATCTTCGGAGCGTGATGCCACCGGCGCGCAGCTCCTGCACCATGACTGACCACGAGCAACTGCGACGCGGCGTCGCGGGCGGGCCACCGTCCCATTGCCCTTGATCTGAACGATGCACGGCGTAGCGCCATCCAACGCAGACGGCGTCACTCAGCCAGTCCAGCGGGCGGCGCTTACCCAGCGGCTTCGGAAATCCGACGGCCCCAGCGCAAGGAGAGCTAAAGCGAACCTCCAACACCTCCACCTTGCAGCTTGAAACGGACGGCTAGCTGGAGCTATACAATTAGTTTCTCGCTGGGCTCATGGCGTGGCCGACAGACGCCATCCCCAATGAATTGGCACTGCCGATCGGACCAGCACGCGCGTTCCACACCAGCAGAATCAAAAAAATAACAGCACAAGCTTTTTGCGAAAGGCAGATCGACATGCGTATCTGGCAAGAGCCCCGAGCAAAGAGAAGCTGAGCAACTTGAAAGCCAACGGCCGCCCAAATGCTTCACCCCTGCCGCCCCACTGCAGCCCCGCTGCCGCCACGCTGCGTCAATCGCATTCACGCGGGGGGTCCGCTCCAGCGGCGCGCCGGGCGCCGGCTCTCGGCCAGCGCGGGCGCTCCTCTGCGGTCTCTTCCTGCTTTGCTGCCGCCGGCTGCCGGCGTGTCCTCCTCCTCCTCCTCCTCCTCCTCCTCCTCCTCCTCGACGCTCGTCTTGAGTTGCCTCCTGGCCGTCGTCCTGGCCGCCTCCTCGGGGCTTCCGCAACGCCTCCCTGCTGCCTCTTCGCGGTCTCGTCGTCGTTCTCCTGCCGCTGCTGCTGTTGCCTCTCCTCCTCCCCCTCCACGTTGCAAGCCAATTGGTCTTTTGCTCGCTCCATTGCGCGACCTGGCTTCCACTCGCGACCTTCTTTCGCGGGCCGTGTACTTCGGCGCCGAGAGCGCCTTCTCGAGCTCGGCGCCCTCGGCGCCCACGCACGCCCCGCAGTCGATCACAGCGCCCCCCCGCGCACTCTGGTGAGCAGCGCCTCCTCCCCCGCCGGCTGCCGAACCTCTTGCCGCGCATCCCGCCCCGCCTCGCGAGCCCCTGGTCGCGCGCGGGCGCGGGCCAGGTCTGCGCCGAGGCTGGCCTCGAACGCTCGGCGAGACTTTGACGCGCATTGTGGCCATAGCGCGACCAGCGCAATGATGCGCTGACGTGCTCACCACCTCCGCCTCCCCGCCCGCTGCCATGATTTGGACATTTTGCCCTGCGGACGAACGCGGCGCCTCCTGGCGCATCCGCCGCGCGCTCGCCGGCAGCCCCGGATGATCTCGACGGGGCCCCCAGCGAGAGCCACGGCCCAGAACGACGCCGCGCGCTCGGCTGCTGGGGCGAACTGTCCCCCATCAGCTGTGCCACATAAGCCGGCATTCAGAAACCCTCGTCCTCGCGGCTGCGATATCCGACGCCCCCCTCTCGAGGGAGCGCCGCGCCTGGGGCGCCCTGTCGGCTGACGTCCCCTGGGAAGATTGACGCGGCGATGGCCTTGGACCAACCGCCATGCCCACGCCGCGAGCCCCGCGCCGACATCAGGCGTTCAACTGGCGCCCCATGGCCGAGATGCGCCACGCCTTGGATCTGCAACGCAAGTCCACATCCAACGCGGTTGATCCATGTCGCTGCTCGCCCGAAACATCAATGAAACCGAAGCTGCGCTCTCGGCTAGCAAACTTTCATAGCGCGAGCGCGCTGACCTTCGGCCCCCTCTCACCTGTCGCCCAGCTCTCGACGCCCCAGCTTCCCCTAGCCGAAATCTGGTGCTTATATGCACCTTGCACTTTGCCGCGGCGCGCGCGCCAGCCGTCTGCGAGAAAGCCCGTTGCGCGGCGTCGATCACCTGTGCTCCTGCATCTTGAACTCTGTCTTCTTTGCGCTGTCGTCGAACTGCATTGCGGAAGATGGCGGCGGCCATGGTCGGCACCGCGTCCTCGCCGCGGTAGTGTTCTCTCGCCTTTGACCGCAGGTGTCGGCGCATGTCTCCTGCAATGGCTTGGCAGATCTCGCCGAGGGCGAGGGCCCGGTCGTCGGCCGACCTTCATGCGTCTCCAACTGCCCTCCCATCTGTCCAATTCACGCGGGAACCATCGATCCTGCTGCCGCGATAGGATAAGCGCCGCCACTGGGCCCGTCAGTGGATTTCACCTGTCGCGCTTCCTCGTGCCCCGAATGCCCGGGGCGATCTCGCGCCGCCCGCGTCGAAGTCGGCGCTGGGCGACCCCCCTGCCACATTTGAGACCCATCCGCGCCTCGTTCGCGCCATGGGATATGACGCTCGCCGTCGCCGCGCCTGCCTCCCGCGCTAAAGCCTCCCACGCCCGCTGCCGGTGCTCGAGCATCTCGAGCAGCGCTCGGGCCGAGCCCGATGATTGGCCAGTCGAAATTCTGCGATGCTCTAAGGTTGGCATTGAAGAAAGATGCCGCGCGTCTTCTCCGCGTTCCTTCCTCCCCCAATGAAGACGCTGTCGCGCTCGCCCCCGGCCTTTGCCTTTCCCGCCCTCGACGTTCCAAGCGGGGGTGTCATTTCTCCTGCGAGCGCCGCGTCGACGCCCAGGTCCCGCGCGCGTCGCGGAGCCCTGATATGCCATCTTGCCGATCATCTTGGAGACCTTATTCCTCGCGGCGTCGCGGCGCAGCAAAGGGCGCCGACTGCCTCGGAACCGCCAGTCTCGAATCAAGACATGCCCGCGCCAAGGCATTCGCTGCTTTCGGGGAGAACTCCTGGAAACCACCCGCCCGCCAACCCACTCCCGCGCGCGCGTCGCCCGCGAACGCTCGCGCGATGGCCAGCGGGGTCGCTCCGCGACGTCCAAGACGTTGCGCAGCATGGCCCGAGCCGCGCGATTGGCTGCCGCACATCTCGCCACTGCTCCGCAACAGGAAGCGCATGGACTCAGCGAGCTAGAACCGCTCTCTGGGAAGAGTGCGTGAACGCGCTCAGAGATGAACCCATTCTCGGGCAATCGAAATGCACGGCGCGCTTGATGCGGATGCCCAAGTCGACGATGTCGCCAAGCTTCAAGGCCCAGGTAGATGGCGCCGTAGAGAGCGCCCCTCAGCTCAACACTGCACTCGCCCAGGGCCACGAACAGGAGCGCCGCTCGAAGCCCAGGGGATCCTCGGATCGCCGCGCCCAGGACCCCGCCGTTCCCGAGCGCACCTCTGTCTTTGCCATTATGCCCCACCGTCGCGCTGGGGAGAGCCGAGTTCCGATCGGCCGCTCCACCTGATGAGTTCGGCCCTGCTGCCGACAGTGAGCAGCGCCTGCTGCGTTCGCCAGGTGCGATCACCATGGACAAACTGCGCATGGCGTTAGAAGCTGGCGTCTTGACAACTGGAGGTGGCCGCCGATCCGCCCCTCTCGCCGTCGCCAGCCCGAACGCGGTAAGACAGGCCCCCGGCTCCTCGGCGCCGAACTACTTTCGTTCACGTCATTATGCCCGCGCTGTTTGGTGAGACTCCAACGTTGCCAGCTTGGCTCCTGTCTCCCAACTGCGGCGCCGACGCCCTGCTTGCCGCGCGCCGGCTCTCCTTGCCGTCGCGTCGCGTGGCGCTGTCGTATCCCGCGTAATAGGTCGCGCATTTCATTTCATGATTATTGGGGCATCGATGAGCCCCCGCCATGCTTCCTGTAGGCGCTGTCCAGGTCCGCTGGGCGACCTCCGCGCGCGCGCCCCCATGCCTGGCGCAGCGCAATTCAGTTCGTTGCCGCGCTGCCCCGCGAGCCGCCGCCCCCGCTCGCCGATGCCCCCCGGCAAGACATCTGGATCGCGATCGAGAACCAGTTTGCAGAACCTCTCGGCGAGCCGCCACCGCCGCCCCAGAAACCTTCCAGCGTTGGACCTGGTCGGCGAGCCCTGCGACGATTGCGCTGCCGTCAAGCAGAAACGCGCGGACGTCGCCAGGTTGCCGCGTCGGCAATTGATCTCCATCCTGGCGCCGCTGATGTCGGACAACGAAACGTGCTGATGCGCTGCTGCAGTCTCGCGTCGCCAACTCTCTTCGTCGCGATATGACGCGCGTGCGACACTTCGAAGTAAAAGGTCGTTTGTCCACATCTGTCTTGCCGACGCGATGGCGATATGACGATGGTGGCCAAACCTACTCCTGAAGCGCTTGCCCACTCGCCATATAGCTTGCCCAAGAGCTCGCTCATCCCGGCGTTCTGCTGGTAGTCTGTCAATGGATAATCGACCCACTGCGGCGAAGGTCTGATGCCCCGGGAACACCCATCGCTGCGGCATTGCCCCCGAGTCGCAGCCTCACACTGGATCGGCAATGTCATCTCGAAACGGGCATCGAGCACCCCGCCCTCGCGCGCAAACGTATATGTTCCCACTGCTGGCGGTCTGGCCGTTGCCGCGCGAGCCCCTGCCCCCGCGCGGCCGTCTACCGCGGGGGAGGGCGGCGTCGCCCGTCACGGAGGCCTCCTCCTCAATGGCAAGCGTTTCCGGCATTGCCCTCATCTCCATCTCGACGCCTGCGCAAGGCGCCCACGACGCGTTCGGGCGGGCGGAGGAGTGGTTTGAAGCACGGCGGGGCGATGGCGCGGTCAATCGCGCGCCCAGGGCCGTCGCCGCGCGCGCGACACGCATCCCCGAGTAGTTCTAGCCGCGGCGTCTCCTCATACGAGACCTATGTTGCTTCACATCAGCAGTTTGGCCCCTGCTGACGTTTTTCAAAATAATATATTGGGATGAAACGCTGCCGCTGGATATACCGAGCACAGTTGATCACAACACAAACGCTCCTGCGATCCCCGCCAAAATGGCAAGAAATGGTAAGCTCAGATCCGCATGGCTACATTACAACCGAACCGCTTGACCACCATCTCGACCGAACTGGCGGAATTCGACCACGCGTCCGACAAAATACGTTCGACGAGGGATGCGCTGTACAATGCCCCGGCCACGGGCAGCGCTACGGGGGAAAACGGGCCCTTTCGATGTGTCACTTTCAGCGCCCGTGAAAGTGACACCTCCCAGGGCCCACTTAAAGAGCACCAGAAAGGCTCCAAGAAGGCCCCGAGAAGGCCCCAGGGCGGCACCAAGAGGGCTCCCAGAGGGACCCAAGAGAGGCCCCACGAGAGGCCCCAAGAAGGGCCCAAGAAGGGCCCAAGAGGGCCCTCCGCGGTGTCACTTTCAACGCCCGTGAAAATGACACCTCCCAGGGCCCACTTAGGGCCTCAGAAAAGCTCTAAGAAGGCCCCGAAAGGGCCATAGAGAGCCGCCCTGGGTTCAACTCCGCGTGGCGGAGTTGGAAGCGATAACTTCAATACCCTACTGGAGGCCTCTTAGGGGCCCTAAGACGGCACTGAAGAACCCCATCGGGGCTTTTTCAAAGGCAGAGGAGGGCGCAAAAAGGGGCCTCAGTGAGCCCCTGGTCTAACTCCACCTGGCGGAATTGGAAGCGATATCGCCCGGCGCCTTCATGGAGCCGCTCGGAGCTTCCAAGACGGCTCCAGAAGGCCCCAGGAGGGCCCCAAGAGGATCGAACGACGATTCCTGGAAGTGCACCAGTGAGACCCTTGTTGACCTCCGCCTGGCGGAGTTGGAAGCGACAATTTCCAGTGCCCTCTTGGGGCCTCTGGGGGGGCCCTCAGAAAGCTTTGGGGAGCACAGTGAAGGCCTTCGCAGGGCCGCGTGAGAGCCGTACCAGGGCCGCATGTGTGCGCGGATGGGGGCGACGAGTGCTGACGCTGACGAATATGAGAATGATGAGGGCGATCAAGGCTGGCCCGAAACAAATCCTGGCGCCATTGCAGGCCGCCGATTATCGGCCACGCCGCCAGGACGACGCCAAGCAACAAAACGACACCAACCAACAAACCGACACCAACCAACAAACCAACAAATCGACACCGGCCAACAAAAGGACACCAAGCAACAAAACGACACCAAGCAACAAAACGACACCAACCAACGAAACGACACCAACCAACAAAACGGCACGAATCAACAAAACGGCACTGACCAACCAAACGACAAATCACTTCACGACACCAATGAACAACGCGAAATCCACCGACCGCCAACCAAGCATAAAATCAACCGACACAACGAAACCAACCCATAGAGCCAGACCAACCACTGGATTCGTGAGTCGGGGTAGTCATGGAAGTGAGCCGCTGCAGCCCGCGGAAGCCATTCACAGTGACCAGAGCACCGCAATGCAGCAACGTCCCCGGGCGGCGGCGGGAGTCTTGGATCTCCCGCGGGACTGGAGCGTAGCGAGTTCGTCCTGGGTCCGGTTTAGTGAAGTGAAGAATTTCGGGGTGCTTGCATGGCAAAAACCTTCACTTCACTAATCTGGGGCCCCTGGAGCCCCAGGGCGTTTCAGGTCCCCTCGCTGTCTGGGTAGTCCAGGGGGCGCAGTGGCGGCTTACCAGAGGCCCTGTTCCCTAGCCTCACTTGCTTTCACCCGTGGTGCTCGACGGCCGTCTCGGAGCTGTCTTGTGGCGGTCTGGGGCGATCCCGAAGCCTCTTGGAGCCATCCCAAGGCCCCAAGGCGCCACCAATGGGGGCCCCAAGAGAGCTCCCAGAGGGCCCCGAAAGGCCTACTACAGATTGCGCGTTCGCGCGAATTCTTTGTACCACCTTGGGGGGTCCCTCTTGGGGCCCTCGGGGAACG